GACCATCAGCCGGGAGCTCCTGGGGTCTCCCGGTCCTATCCCACCATGCACCCGCTGGATATTTGGTTATTGTCTCCCTGTTCAGCAGTGGTTTTGTCACCGGGGTGCTCTATGCCTCAGTTTCCCCATAAGCACCCTGCCCTAACGTGCTTCGTGTAGGGAGGGCACCAAGGTGGGTGAATGGACCAAGGGTGGTTGAGGTGGGTGTCTGAGGGACCAAGGGAGGTCCTTGGGCAGGTGGATGTGCTTTGGTGGTTGCAGTGACCAGCCGAAGGACCATCCTGAAAGCTGCGGGCCCTCCGGTATGCTCCAGCCGCCTCCACTGTACCACCAGCACCACGTCCATGAGCCTCCTCTCTCCACTCCGCTGTGTCTGGTGGCTCCCCAGCCTGCTACGGACGTGGGCAAGCCCTGCGTCCTTTGCACCAGGTTTCAAGTGAAGGTTTGCGCTCAGCGGGGCAATGGCCCTGGCCCGTCTGTAGGTCAAGGACTTCAAAGCAGATGGCCGGTTCCGCTCTCTCCTGCAGGCTGCTCCCTCTCCTGGCTGTGCTGCACGCCGGGCACTGCCCAGCGTGTCGCTTGATTCGAAGGCAGGGCAGCAGCCGTCCTCCGAAGCCCTGGGACCGCAGACGTTTGCCCCAGTCCCAGCCGTGCGGGCTTGGGTGCCGCTGGAGCGCTCCTCGTCCTGTCCGAAGTGAACGCGGGGCAGCACTAACAGCCAGTGACGTCTGCCACGCTTCAGGCAAGCGTTTTGGAGAAAGAGCCGGACTTTCGGAGCAGCCCGTGGTGGAGGCTGTCGCTTGTACCTGTCTGTTTTGGGAACCAGGCAGGGCTGAGGTGGCCGGGAATGGAAGCGTGCGGCCGTCAGGCTTACCAGGGTCTGCGGCTTTTCATTTGTCTTAATTGCAGTCCTCTTCTCGACGCCTTTCGGAACACGGTGCTTCATTTGTAATTCAAGCCTGCAAACCCCCAGTGGGTCCCTGAAACACAGAACGCAAATTCACCCTCTGGTACGTGGCTTCAGTGCCGCGGGGGGGCTCTGGGCTTGGCACAGCCTCTTCTCTTCCTCCTTGTCACTGGTGTCCCCCCACTCTTCGCTGATGTTCCCCAGCCCCTGAAAACAGTTGATCTCATTGTCATCTCCAGGTTCCCACATCTGGTTCTCGTTAGCAGATCCCAGGATGAAGTTCTTCAGCTCTCTCCCTTCCTCCCACCCCCAGGTGACCCAGGCAGGATTATGGGTGATTAGAAGACAGGCAACAGAGCAAGAATAGGTGGGGGAGGGACTGTTATAAATAGAAATACCATAAACTTATCAGCCTATCACTCGAGGTAAATTCTGGTTTTAATCTCTCGGACCTGTAAATATGACGACTCACAGGGGCCAGACACCGTTAACTCTTTCAGAGCCCCATGGCTGCTTGCCCATCTCTGATGGCGGAGCACCTGAAGATGGGATGGGGAGCAAGTTCTCGAGCTGAGAGGATGTCACCAGGAGGGACGAGCTGGCAGACCCAGGCTGTCAGAGCAGGGGCAGGGAGGAGACGGTGGTGTGGGAAGCACCTCCGTTTGAATGTCGATCGTGTTTGGAGGTTTGGGAAGGCAGAGAAAACCAGTCCAAACATTGGGATTCCTGACATTCTCACACGTACGGGGGCCTCTGCTCGCCCGGCTCTGCTGACGAGGAGGGTGCTGCGGGTTTAACATCTTCTTGTTCTTCAGGCAAAATTTACTTTTGGGGGATCTCCTCAGCCCTTTTGTGAGGGAAGGGTTAGAAAGCTGAGCAGATGGAGGGGTGGCATGGTATGAGAGCGGGGTGGCAATGCGGGGGCCAAGAGGAGGACAGGGCATAGGGACCTGGCAGGTTTGGGAGTTTCTCTGCAGCAGCACCAACTGAAGGAGTTGTGAAATAGAAGGTTGTCCTAGAAGAGTTTGCCCTGAGGAGTCTCCATGCCTGTACAGGGAGGTCAGTGTCTTAGAAGTGGCTGAATTACTTGGTCCTGGTACCCTCCTGCCCTGGGAGGGTTCATTGTGTGCAGAGAGCACTAATGAGCTGATTTGTGAGACGGTCTCTTTGGGCAGCTCTGTGGGTGCCTGCGGCACCTCGCCCAGCCTCCTGCTCTGGGATGGAAGGCAGGATTCATCCTGCTGAGCTTCGGGGACATCGAAAGGGTTATGGGTGACAAGAGCTCTCGTGTACTCTTTGGAGCGGGCACTGGTGCAGAGGCAGGGCCGTAGACAGGAGACGCTACGTGGGGATTGATGCTGTTCTTCCCACAGCGAGAGGGCGAATGCTGGCAGCGCAGTGGGGCTCAGAGCTGCTCTGGGCTCCTCCATCTCTCTTTTGCTGGGACGGGGAGATGTGGGAGTCTGTCTCGTGCAGAGCTGCGTGGGTGTTGAGCTTCCCAGGGTCCCTCCTCGGTGGCTTCCCGCTTCCTCCTAATCCCCACTTTGGAGGGGGAGGGAGCGTTGTTAGTGTCGTTAGGAGCTCGTGACTCTATGGAGAAGTATTAGCTTTTAATTAATCACCTAAGCTGGCTTTTGGTAAGAGCCCAGCCTGCGTGGAAGCGACGGGCAGTGGGACATTCCTCACGCAGGTTTGCCGCTGCCCTGACATCCCCGTTTCACCCTAGCTGATGCAAGTACCTCTGTCCCCAAGCAAAGGAAAGTCCTCTATTTTTAGTGGGCAGCCCCTTCCCATGGCACATGCGCAGCCGGACCCCGCCACGGCTGTTATCACGTCTCAACCCCGCAGCAGCACAGCTGACACACCTCTCGCGTCACGGTGCTTATCTCACCCTTCGGCTGGGTCTCAGCTGAGGGCTTCTGAAGGTGACTTTTAAGGCAAAGTAGCAAAGAAATAGGAAAGCCTAGCACACCTCTGTCTATTAAGGGCCTCCTGTCCTTTCTGGGGAGGTCCTGGGCTCCTCTTCTTCCATGGAGAAGCTCCTGGAGTTTAGAGGTGTAAGGGAAACCCACTGGGCTCAGATTTTTCTTGGACAGGCTCAGTAGCTTGTGGAAGGGCAGCAAAATTGGTCAAGTGCCTTTTTTTTGAACCTGGGTCCCAACCCTGGAACTTGGGATGGAGACAAGTTTTCTGATAGCTTTTGCGGTGGATGTTTGCCAAACACGTCGTGTGATTTATGGTGCGGTCTCTTTGGCCAAGAGCGAGGCAGCGGAGAGCGGGGAGTGCTCGCCCGCTGGCAGAAGGGTTTCAGCTGATGTTAAGGGGTCACAGCGGCCGAGGAGTGGCTGCTTGTAGAAGAGATGCCTTGGTAGAGCCACGCGTGGTGAAGTGTCGGGAGCAGGCTATAGCAGAGGTCTTCAGGGATGAGCAAGGGACACAAGTACCCACGGTGCTGGACATCGGTGAGCTCTTCCAGTCAACCGTCACTCGAAGCAGGACAACGACACGGTTGCTACCACATCGCTGCGACTGCAGGAGAGGACGGTGCTGTTGCAGAGGAGTACCCTTGTGCTGACCTGGGGTCTGCAACTATCTAAGCGAGGTGCTGGCGCAGCTCAGGACCTCGTAGGCTCTGCCTGCCCTGTCCTCGCCACGATGCTAGCCTGGCCAGAGCATCACGCGTCCCTGCTCCAGATGCATCCTTTTGTAGCAAGAGTTCGCATGGGAGAGCATCACCACCACCACCTCCCCCAAGTCCCCGGGCTCTGCCATGGAGGCAGATGGTGCGCAAAGGGTTAGGTGTCTTGCAAGTGAGCGGCTACCCAGGTTTTTTCCCCTCTAGCCAGGGTTACTAAGGGAGAGATCCCTCCATCCGCGCACACACCCTGTCCGTTTGGCAGAATTCCTAGCTGGATTTATTTCTGCCGATTTGCTTGTCTTGGTATGAAAGGGATTTGCAGAGGGGAGAGCTGCAATTGGCCAGGGGTGGGCTGAAACCCCCCGTCCTGGGTTTTGCGGTTCAGCGGCTGACCTTTCCCCGGCGCATGGTCTGCGGGGGGGAGGCCGGGGGGTCAGGGTCTTCTCCTGGGCAAGGGACGTCGTGCTTTAACGTGGAGCTGCGGGGTCTTTCAGGAAGGGCTGCCTTCGTTATCTGAGCTCGGGGAGGTGGGGGGAGCCGGGCCTTCTCTTCCACTTTCTTGGCAGTGTCTTTGGCACCGAGGGCTGGCACCGACCCCAGAGGGCTGCAGACTCCCACTTCAGAGAGACAGATAAAGAAAGCACTTTCTGTCAACAAAACCCGGCCCAGCTTCCCCAGAACAGGGGAGGGGAGGAGGAGCCCTCCAGGAGAAAGGAGAGGGAAATCCACCGCTTGCCCGCGGAGGAGAGGAGAGGGAGGAGGGCTCCTGCGGGGTCGGGAGCTGATCCAGAGCTGTCATGGCAGCAGCGGAGAAACTCCAGCGCGTTCTGCGAAGCGGAGGCGAGGGTCCAAAGGGGAGGAAACCAGCTTTCCCAAAGCACCCCTGAGCCCACGCTTACAGCCCTGCCTGTGCGGGGACTGTTCTCCCCCCCGTTGCCTGCAAAGGGGAGCCCCGCCATCAGCCCCGGCGAGGCCAGCGGCTCTCGCAGCTTCGCTGACAAAGCCGTTTCGGGCCACGTCAGCGCCAAGTTCGTGGTGGTGGTGGTTGGGCAAGAGCTGGCTCTCGTGCTCTGCAGAGCCATGTGTCTTGCATAGCTCAGGCCTGACCCCGTGATCTCCCGTCTCCCACGTGTCCTGAGCCCGGTCCCGGGAAGCCCGTGTATCCCGCAGCCAAAGCGTGGCTCGCAAATTGCTGTAGACAAAGCCCACCCGTCTGTCCAGTTTCCCAGGTAGTGTCACCACCTTGGCTTGTCCCACGCGCCCCATCTCTGTCTGGTTTTATGCTGGGATGCAGATGGGTATGGACAGATGGCAGTCCTCAAACTGAAGTATCTGCTGATCTTCTTGGGTCAGTTTCTTGACTCTGCAAAGGTCTGGTGGTGTTTCTGACCTGCAAAGCAAGGGCCTTTCGTGTCCTTCTCATGGCTCACACTTCCACCTCCTCTCCCCTCGCAGGCCACGACATTAATGGAGCTCTGGAACCATCTAACATCGACACTAGCATCCTGGAAGAGTACATCAGCAAGGAGGACTCACCAGATATGTAAGTGCATCCCTTGCTCCGCAGCAGGAACAGCGTTCACTGTTGTTTTCTGTGGAGAGAAGTTGAGCAATTTCCAGCCCTGCAATTTGAAGAATCATTTAGAAATCACTGTGCATCCTGGCTGCGCCTCTCTCTCTCCTAGAGTCCTTCTTTATTGCTCTTTGCTCCCTTACTCATTTCCAGTTCTTCCTCCTGTCTCTTCCTGGCTTCTTGCCTTTGAATTTCCCCAGTCTCTTCTGCCCCCTTTCTTTCTCCTCCCGAGGGCACCGCAAAAGACTTCCTTAATTTGAGCAATGGGAAAGTAAGCACTAGGAGCTCAGCATGGAAGATTAAATCCCCAGCACAACACGAGTTGGGAGAAGGGAAGGGTCTCCCTGTGTGCGCCGACACTGGCAAAGGCGGGGGAGCAGACCCGGATAGCAGCCAGTGCGATCTGGGCCGCAGGGTGGGAGCAGGATCTTTCGGGGCTGATGTGACAAAGCAGCTTCCATGTGCTAGTCTGTAAGCTGAAGCACGGTGAGCAGATCCTGCTGTCTCCTGCTGACTTCGCAAGCTTTGAGGTTGGTGTCCTGGGCGCTTCGGGCCTTTACAGCTCTGCAGATGGATTTTACGCCCTTGGGGTTGCGTCAGTCCCACCAACCCAGGTGTCTGACCTGCCTTCCTGTACGCTCCTGCTGGTGCCACCACAGTGCTGCCTGTTTTGCTATTTTCTGGGTGTCCCAGAGCACCTGAGTGGCTCTGTCCCCATTGCTGCATGGCTGGGGAGGGAAGGGGTGGGCAGAAAGCACCGTCTACCTGTCCCTCTGCTGAGGTTGTCCCCTTCTCTCTCTCAGCTGTTTCCCTGACATCCCTGCTTCAGCCAGCTATGCACACCCCCAGCCCTCCAGCTCAACCACTGTCAACGCGCCTCTTGCCAGCTCCATCGCCAATGTGACCAACCCCGCTTCCAGCGGTTCCCTCCACCTTCCTCCCCCGGGCAACCAGATCCCAATCCGGCATGGTCCTCTTCTGGCCAACCCTTGCGGACCCGGCTACGGTGCTCACCTCAACTGCAATAACAACAATGGCATGGTGGTGCCCAAGGGCTACCTTGGCGGCCACTGCCTAAACAACGTGGTCCCTCCAATCAAATCGGAGCCTAAGGCCTCCTACGCACCTGGGTAAGTGGGGTTGGGGTGGAAGAACAAGGGCAAATGGTGGGACAAGTGCTCCTCCAGGCTGGTGGGGCCTGGAGGGTTGGTGTAGTTCATCCCACAGTGCCTCAACTGCTGGCAGCGTCAGTCTGTATTAAACCCTTGCTTCACGGAGAGATGCTTTTTTACAAGTGTAGGTTCTGAAGTTCCCTGGAAGGTTGTTTGGTAGATCTTGGCTGTATGCATTGATTTAGAGAGGATCAGTAACATCCCCTGTGTCTGCAGGTGGTGGTAGAGCCGTCGGCTCTGGGTGACCAGCATATCTATGCTGCACATCTACAAGCGTGTGATGGGAGAATATTGTAGCGTTGTAATTTTTTAAGAAGGAAGAGCCGCAGAATAAATTTGAACAAGACAAAATTAGTCTCCAGGATGTTCCCGTGACTATCGCAGGGGAAGACGTTGACTAAATTGGGCACAGTGATGTACTTCTCTTGGCCTGGTGTTGTAGATAACTCCACTCTTGAGAAGAAAAAGATGGCATCTGAGCTGGATTTATACTCCTTTGCAACAAGCTCTGGATGCAGACCTGGCGAAGGGGAAGAGGATGAGCCGGTTTTAGCATTGCTGGTGGACTCAACTGGACAATTAGTCCTGGGAGGAGAAAAGATGTGGTTCCTGCTCTCTGGGATAGCCTTGCCTGAAACAGGCAGGAAGGAAATGACGCTGGCAGGCTGGGAGAACGCAGCGACATGGCAGCGGCCATCCGCAGTGCCCCAGGGGCCAGACAGAGACCATGTCAGTAGAGAGCACTTTGGCAGGCATGGCACGCTGAGAGGGTATGGCCCCACAGTGGTGACAGGGATAGGAGCTGGCATCCATAAAGCTTTACTGCCTGGAGACCCAAAGGGAAGAACATGTCTGGTCTCTTCCTCCTCGTGCATCTCTCTGGTCCATGCTGCTCTCCCCCAGTCATACGGGAGTGAAACAAGAAGATGATCTGAAGCTGGACAGATGAAAATCAACGTGTGCAGCAGCGTATTTATCAGCAGGAGGCCCTGGCAGTTGGCAATAGTCATACCACGAGGAGCTGTGCTGTGGTCCAACCTGTCTCTGTAGCAGAGGTGATGGGTGGCCCTGATGCGCTCTCTGCACAGCCAACCTCTGTGCCTTCTCCAGTGGAGATGGTGGATGTAAGGGACAAGGAGGGCAGGATGGCCCCAGGACTGCTCGTCTCTGCAAGCCCCTGCCTCGTTTTTCTCCCTCTGCCTTGTGCCCTCTAGTGTTGCCAGCAAGTACGGCGTGGCGATTCCCAGATTTGGAAGCCTCTAGCAGACTGAACCAATGATTCAGCCATAACGCAGCTCTATTGGGATGACTTTGGCCCTTTGGATGAACTTGGAAAGATCTTGCCAAAAGAGACAAGCTTAACAGAATCTGCCCTTATTTTATTGCCAGATGGGGGAGTTCTCCCTTGCTGTGTACCCAGAAGGCTACATGCAGCTTAGGAGGAACCATGCCCAAAAGCATGACGTGATGCCTTGTCATGTCCCCTTCTTCTGCATGCATCTGGCATTCTGCAGGATGTGAGAGGTCATGAGTAAAGATCATAGCTTGCTGTTAGAGGTGAAGACCTTGGTTTGGATGTAGATGAACTGGGTCAGCTTTCATGGCAGCATTTCTTCAGCATCCCAGAATGACTCTTCCCCATTGTACTAGGCTCTTCCTGGAGGAGCAATTTCTCACTTGTTGGATACCAACAAACCCTTCCCTTGGATGGGGCACATCCACACTACCTCCCTGTGTGAATTCTGCAGTGTCCATCTTTCTGCTGCAAGGCCTTTTCCAGCCTCCAGGATTCCCTGAATTGTCCCAGGCCCTTTTGTTATTGGCCGAAACTTGGCTCGCTGAGGCACAAATCCTATTAAATTCGTAGGAAATATAGTATGAAGTCATGGCCAGCATGGCAAGGAGACTGGAAATAAGGCTGGTGATAGATGCTCCAGACCAAGTGTAGAAGGGGAGTGGTGGAAAGGTGCTGCAGGTGAAGGATGAGGTAAGTACGGTGAGGGCTCTTTGTTGGGGTTACCCTACCTCATCCCTCTCCAGCTACTGCTGTGTACTTCTTACCATGGAGAACCCATTTAGGGGGTCTTGGGCTCCTCTGGTGCAGGAAGGTCCTGGTAGCTGTCCTGGTTTGTAGCTGTCGTTGTGGGTGCTGTCAGGAGCAGAGTTTCAGAGAAGCGTGTGCATGGTGTACTGCACCTTTCCTCCCCGCAGCCCTAAGGGCCTCGTTTGCTTTTTCACCAGCTTTCGTCCAAGCCATACTGGTTTGTCTGGGATTATTTTGCAGCCACAAAGCTGACGGTGTAAGATGGGAGAATGGAAAAGCATCCCCATTGAAAATCCACTTGTGACGAGGAACAAGGTGTCAGGAGGTGGGGAGGAAAACAGCCGTGTTTGTCTTAGACGGAGCAGACTTTGCCAAGGTACTGGGCCGCTGAAACCTGCTGGGGCTTGCTGAGGGTGTGCATCACCGGCGATGGAGCGGATGTGAATGGGCAGACAAGCTATCTCCCTGCCAAAGATCTCCAAAGGATGGAGCATACAGCAAACACTAAGGTGAAGTGAGCCTCTCTCTAGAGCGTAGGCTGCTCCAGCCACCAGAGCCACTGCCTCCCTGCCCACCTCTGCTGCAGCTTTGGCTTGCAGTGACTGTGGCTCAGTCTAGCTGGGAGTAGGACCTCAACTTTTTCCATGTACTCGATCTCCAAAACGTTGCTAGAGAAGAACCAGTGTCTGAGACAAGCAAGTCCTTTGCTTGTGCACCAGGGTGGTGGAAATTTTACCTTGGCCTGAAGATGTGTGAGGTCCAAGCTTCTGCTGCAGTAGGAAGCATGTTGAGGAGGGGCTGCAAAAGGAAAAAAAGAAAAATTGGTTCAAATGAATTTTCAAGGAGATGCTTTGGAAATGGCTGAAGAGACCAGCTGCCTGGAGTCTCTGCTGGCTCGAGGTAACACAAGGAAGGATGCAGGAGCTAACCGGCTCCCTGCAGTGCATCTGCATTGCCACTGCACACGATGGGGCTGGTCCTCAGTCCTGCCATCCCCGAGCCGTGGGTGTGCTGGAGAAGGCAGCTGAGAGTTCCCCTTTTTACTTGGTTGCTTTTTGCAGCCAGGGCCAAATCCTGGTCCTGGTGATGTCGGAGTAGAGCCAGGGTGATACAGCCAGCAGCTGTGGTGGTGCTCAGGTTCGTACAGGTCACAAGGCAGAATCCATCCCATGGGCTTCCCAGCCTTCGCTTTTGTGCATCAGATCCCAGGTCCCAGCCCAGCTCCCTCAGAGCCTCCCATTGACCCCTGATGAAGCACACGGTCTTTCTCTGGGGAAGAGATACGTTTCGGTTTGGCTTCTTTCAACTGGAGATCTCATTGTCAGGTCAACAAAATGTCTGTCCCTGCTCCTGAGGTCCAGGGAACCACTGTGGGGAGCAGTGACAACTACGGCAGTCCCGAGCTCGTCAGCTGGACACGCTCGGGGTGACGGGGATCTGCCGCGGGCACAGCTGGGATTTCCGACAGGAGCCCGGAGGGTGCTTTGATCGAACTGGACCTCTCAGTTGTGCTGGAAGCTGGTTTAAAATGACCTTCCCTTCTCTTTCCCCATTGCTCTGCAGCACTTTACCTGACTCTCCCCCGGACTCTGGATCAGAAGCCTACTCCCCTCAGCAGGTGAATGGTAAGTGCTGAAAAGAGAGAGAGGGGAAAAAAAAAAAAAAAAAATCCAAACCCTAACCCCAACATCCTCCCCCTCTTTGTTCTGTGAAAGTGGTTGGCTCTGAAATCTTTATCAGACGGGAGAAAACAGGCGGCTGCAATACGTGGGGAGATTATCAGTTAGTAAATATCCCTAGACTTTCGCCTATTGTTCTGCTGCTAGTCTTTGCAAGGGGGGAGAGCGAGCGAGAGAGGGAACAGGAGAGAAGGCAAGGTGGGAATCCACTGACACGGGGAGAGATCGGCGGTGTGGCTTGTCCCCGAGCAGGGTGGGATGTGGAGCCCGCGAGCCTCCTTGTCCTGCCCTCCTCCTCGGGTGAGCGAAAGGCAAAGAGCGGGAGCGCGTCCCTGAGATGGAGCCCGGCTCGGGGAGACAGAAATGAACCTGCCGTTCAGCAGTAAGTTCCTTCCCAGCCCTTCCCTCCCCTCCAGTGGGGCCAGCTGATCCTGGCGGTCTTGCGCTCCCCCCCGCAAAGGGCAGAGAGAGCTGGGTCCCCCCAGGTGTAGGCAGGGTCACTGCCAGACCCTGCTGGCTCCCGCTGGGGAAGCCACCGAGCGTTATTTGGTTCCTCTGGTGACCTTCACTGCTCTTTGGTGGAAGAAACTTCTTGGTGAGGAAGGAAGGTTGCTTCTGGTCTCCCTTCCCCCTCGGCAGCAGCACCCTCTTCCCAGGCTCCAGCCCAGTCCCCACCAGGAACAGCGCCTGCTCTTTTTTTTTTGATGGAAGAGGTCAAGAGTTCTGTTTATCTTGCTAAAAAAAATCCCTGGAATTCCTCCTGGCCCTTCCTTAAATATAACAAAGAGGCCGGGTTGCTCACCACGGGGAGAGCTGCTTTGACGTGCAGGCAGAGCAGGAGCACCTCTGCTTGGGGAGGAGAGGAGGCTCCAGAGAGCACCCGCAAAGCAGCTCCTTCCTCGTGAGGGAAAGGATCAGATTCCCGGACCTGGTTTTTCTCTGGAGCTGGGAGCACAGAGCACGGGTCCTGCATTCGGCAAATGCATCAGCCCCTATCTCCACCCTGGTTAGAAGCCTGTGAAAACTGCGATGTGCTGTGGACGCGGTGAAGATGCAGTGTCTGCTGCGAGGGCACGTTCTCAGATCCTTGTGCGTGGGTTGTCCCTTGAAAGCTGCACAATGTCTCCCAGCTTGTACCCGAGCCGCCAGTGCCAAGGCTGACCATGCTGCAGGGTCAGGACATTCACTTAAGATGTTGCAAAGACGTATTTCTTGCAGTATTTCGCAGGGGAGGATGCGAGGCTCCTCTCCCAGCCCTGAAGCGGCTGTCCTTTTATGCAGGTTTGGTCTCTGAGGGTTGTTCTGAAGCTGTTGGAAGCTGTATCCGTCAGCTGGGCTGAGTGGTGCCGAAGCTGCCTGGCCAGTTGTGTTATTGAGCTGTGCTGGTTTCGCTCCAAGTTACGCGGGTGGAAGTTGAGTGCTTGTCAGGATGGCAGGAGCAGAGCTGGGTAAGGGGGATGTCGTGCCCGGTACCATCACTACCCGGCTGAAAAGCAGAGAGATACTCCGTCCCAGGGATGTCACCTGTCAGCCCCGGCCATTGCGTGAAAGCAAGGCTGCTCCCGATCTCCAAACTCCTGAGGATGGAGATCTCCCCTCCGCCCTGGAGCCCTGGTGCTTGGCTAGGCTGTCCCTGAGACAGCTCCAGAAGGCAGACTGGCCTGCGAGCAGGACCCTGCCTGTGAGCACGGGCAGAGGAATCCAGTTCGATGGGTGCTGGAAAAGGGCACCGAGAGATCTTGGCGGGTAGCAGAAAGCCTTTGCAGGGAGCAGAATGGGTGGAAGTGGCCCTGCCCCGGCAGCTTTCAGTAGGAGGGCTCAGCGTAAATACATTTCACTTTTCCAGACCTTGCAACGGGAGGAGTTTTCTGATTCCTGGTCAAGTGCTTTGGCCTCATTAGTCAACCACTGACTGGTTGTTCTGAGACCAAAGTCCATCCAGCCCAGTGTCTGGCTCAGGGCTGGCTGGTGGCACCTGCTTAGGGGAGCAGCCTGGCAAAGACGCAGCAGATACCTTCCCGGCTCTCCCCCTCCATGTCCCCATAGTCTGTAACAGGCTTGGCCGGTCCCTGGATGTGTTTTCTCCCTCCTGCAATTTGCTGGTGCTTAGCTTAATCAGATGTCCACAGCGGGGTGCAAAGAAGTTTTGTCTTGCACTTAAAACACCTGCAAAGTCACTGTCCCTTCCCACCCCTTGGTTTCCTTATACCCCAGAGCCAAACGCCCCCGGAGTCAGTCCCTCATTTCTGCAGGGACCTTGGTACTCTGTGGGGACACCTGAACCTTGCAGGTTGATGGAGACACACCTCCAGTCATTAGGCAAAGGCTGTGAAAAGAGATGAGCTTTTGTCCTGTTGAAGGAAAGGTGGGTGGAGGCTTGTTCTGTGGGGCTGGGGACCAGGCTGTGGGTTTCCCACAGGCAGGAAAACCCAGGGAAGAGCTCCTGTTCTGAGGCAGTGGCTCAGCTGCCCATTTTGTCACTGCCTGGGCCTTTCAGTTCCAATTTCTCTTAGGTGATGTGCTTCAGCTGCACATCAGCAGCTGGCTTGCTACCAGGTTTTGACCAAACCTGGCTGAGCGTGCTTTGTTGGCACAGATTTGGTGTACTGGATTCTGGGGAGGTCTCAGGAGGGTAACGTGAGTTTAGCTGATTTTTTTTGTTGTTGTTTAAAGGACCGTGCTGTCAATCTCCTTAGCAAGCACAGGCTTTTGGAGTGGTGTTGAGATCTTCTGTTTTAATGCTAGGATAGGAGGGAAGGACTTCCATGCTGGAGAAATGTTGAACTTCCACATGAGGCTTCTGTTACCTGCTTCTCCAGGAGCTGCCTGTTAATGCCTCAAATTCCCACTCATCTACATCCAGGATGCTCACTCACGTTTTCCTGGGAGATTTTCATGGGAAAATCTGTAAATTCTTTCAGATCATATTTTTCTCAACATGACATCTTCAGCGTGCACTGTTCTGAAAAGTTTCTCTCACATGTAAAATCTTGATAACTGAGATTTTCCTGTGCACAGATTTTCTTGCATTGATCTTCTCTCAGTCTTTGTCAGCTCATTTCTCATGTGTCTTGCACTAAAGTTGGTGATCATTCTTTTAGTTTTCTTGTATTTTTTCACGGCGTTTCTTCACTCGTAGAATCTTGCTGTGAAAGGGTTTGATTTTGCTAAAGAAGCATGTTCCAGGTGAAAAGTTTCTTCTCTTTACGGTTTCTTTCTTCTCTTTACAGCTTCTGCAGTGAGGATAGAGAAGCTGGCATAAGAAATCATTGCAATTTATCAGACTCAGATCTTTGCTCTTCACTTGCTCATGGCACAAGCTCACTCTTTTTTAGGGTGCCTTAAAACATAAAAATAAGCTGCTGAAATGATGCCAATGCTGACTATTCTCAGAAAGTTTGAGCAGGCACTTAATCCTGTCATTATGGCTGAGTTCTGATGAGAATGGTGTTAAAACTTCACTGGAGTGGTCACTAGTGGGACCAGTCCTTCAGTACTGTAGGCAGTGTCATACAAACACCTGAGTTCAGAGAATGGAAATCATGTCCCGCTTCATCTGAGATGAGCACTGAGCCTGTTCAAGTCTTGCCAGCACACCAACTTTCTCACCAACACGTGTGTTTTTCTTCAGTAAAATTATTCATATTATTTCCTTTGGTCAAATCACTAATTTCTAATCATTCTCGAGGCATATTGGGTGAGATTCAACCATGATGCTTTACTTCACACACTTTACTTTTTGCTCTTAGCCTCCAAAAATGTTTTGGTTCTAGTTAAAGCCCTCAGCTGAGCACTGGCATTGCTGTGCATTGAGCTTTATGGCTAGCTGGAGGCCAAAGCAGCTGCAGAAAGGGAGATGGATTTGCGTGCCCCTCCACACACCAAGCATTTCTTTTGATGCTGATATAGTCAAAACGACCCTTATCATGGCATGGCCTTAATATCCAATTCCAAATAGAGGAGGAAAAAGGTAAGATTACATTTGAATATCCCTTTTTGTTTATTTAAATTTAGAGATCAAAGTCTCCTTCTGGTTTAAATTTAAAAAAATCAAGCAAGTGCCTCCACAGAAATCCTCACTGGTGGTGCTGATGAGCTGGAGGTGTTCAGGTCATTCAATTGTCTCTTCTTTTCTCCAGTTGTTCCCATGCCTGTCTCCGCTCTCATTGGAGAAGAGCCCAGCAAGTGTCCTTGGTAGTACCTTGGCAGTACGTTGGGTCGTACTCTAACACAGTGACAAGCCTTCTTCGGTGCCTCTGGCCCAAGCTGGGTGAGGGCATCCTTGGGACATCTCTCTGCTGGGACTATCGAGGACACCAGGCAACGCACCGAGCTGGGACCCCGAGCCCTCAGATGACCAGTGCTCTGTGGGATGAATCCCACCCTTGGCTTCTCAAGGCTCTGTCAGTGAGTGAGAGTCTGGTTTCTTGGCAGGGTGTCGTGGCCCACAGCTACGAGGAGCTCTGGCGTCATGAAGTAGCTCATCTTTGCCACAAGAGCACGTTGCTGGGCACCTTCCTTGGGCCATGCCCTGGAACAGTAAAATTAGGCAAAGTTCAGGTGCTTTCTCTCCAGCTCTGCATTTCCAGGCACAGGCTTCAGACCCTGTTGCTGACTGTTGGACCTTTTCCCCCAACTGTGCTTTCTTGGTCCATGCCGTTCCTTGGTGCTACAGGAACGTGGTGGTTGATGGATTTTCTGTTTGAAGGGAAATACAAAGCTAACACAAAAGCTGTCTGGGAATTCCTAAAGACATTCTTTCGCTGCAGAGCATCCACGCAAGATACCTAGGTTTACCAAATAATCAGGAATGTTTGTGGGAATCTTCCCTGTTGTCCCTCAGCCTGAGTTGCTCATTGCTCTTCGAGTTTTGGTTCTTTGAGCTTCAAGATGCTGGGCCTTGCCTGCTTCCTTTGTGCTCACCTCTTTCAGTCTCACCTCTTCTGAGACGATGTACAGTACAAGACACCCGGTTTCGTAGTGTTGCACGTCCCTTTATCAGCTGGCCAGCCAGGACCCTGCTGTGTCCTTGCTCTGGTGATACCACTTGGACAGACTGGGTCTGCGGTTGACAGCCAGGGCTGCAGACTTGAGAAGGGAAGCGCTGTGCTGGTTCTCATGCCAGGGAGCCCGGGAGGTGTTTGTGGGATGCTGGGGCCATTAAGGAGCCTGGGAGGAGAAGTCAGTGCAGGGCAAGGTGGCCACTGCAAGGCAGAAGGGGTGGCTGAGGGGACACAGCCGTGCTGAGGCTAGGCAGAAGAGGCAGGGAGGTATGGGTTCGTGAAGATAACCAGGACTAGGATAGTTCTCCACTCTTCCAGGATGGTTCTCCACTCTTCCAGGGGAGAGGAGTGCTCTGTCTGTGCTGGACCCTTAGGACACACAGCGCGTGGCCCTACCTGCTGGTCTAACAGCTATTACTCTTCCTCTCTTTCAAGATCCACACCTCCTCCGGACCATGACCCCCGAAAACATGTGCCACATGACCCCCCCTTCTCGCCTGGAGCACCCTCCTCCGCCACCTCCACCACCACCCCCCCACCTTCAGGGTCCCCCGCCGCCGCCCCCCCCTCACCCGCACCAGCAGCAGCACAACCCTCACTACCCCAGCCTGCAGCGGGACATGTACATGAAGGCTGAGCCCCTGATGCCACCGTACGGCATCGGGCAGGGCATGGCACCCGCCGACCTCCACCATGCCCAGCAGTCGCAGATGCTGCACCAGCTACTCCAGCAACATGGAGCAGAGTAAGGCCTCAAGGCACCGGGGCTTTTCAGCGTTATTTGTGCAATTTGGGGAAGCGGGGGGATGAGGGAACGGGAGCTGGAGGCTTGCGGAACGCGTGAGCAAAAATTACAGGGTTTAACTGCGAGTTAAGGAGCGTGCCCTGGGTCTCTGGGAGCGAGCTGGGGAAGCGTCGAGGTGGAGATGACCCAAAGCGCGGGGCAGGGGTTTGCGGTGCGTGTCTCAGAGTTGGGTGGTGGGGACGGACAAGAGGAAAGCAAAGACGTGGCTCAGCGCACGGACAGCACAGAGCTCGGCAGGGACAGGGTGGGTGGGCAGAGCCTGGTGGGAGAAGGTGGTGACGGTGCTGAACGAGCCGGTGGCTCCCTCCCTGAAGGTGTTGGTTTTTATGCGAGATCCCAGTTTTTTCGTGGTCACGGGCTGTGGGGCTGTTACCTCCCCACCTCTTGCTTTCCTGCTCAGCCTTTGCTTTCCCGTGGGTCTCTGCAGCCTCCCGGTGCACCCTGCCAAGAAGAGGAAACACTCCGAGTCGCCCCCCAACACCCTCAATGCACAGATGCTCAACGGGCTGATAAAGCAGGAGCCAGGTATGGGGTCCGTGCCACTCAACCCTGACAGAGTCCAAACGCCTCCCTGGCACCAGCCGGGAGCGCTCTCACCAGGTATGTGGTTTTTGCCCCCTCCCCGTCCCCCTCCCCTTAATACCCCCGGCATGCAAACCCCTGCTGCCAGCCTGGGCACCCCGCTGGGCCAGGGTACTTGGGAGGAGGGCACGTGGGCACTGCAGGGTGCCAACGAGTGGGGCTCACCCCGTCTGGGTCCTCGGGAGGAGAGCAGGGTGGTGAGTTCATCCTGGCCCAGATCTCGTGTCGTTGGCGGTGCCCTGGCAGGCAGGAGGCAAGCTTCAGGCTGGCCGCAAAGGCAATGCCGCTCGCTTCCTTGTGCTCTTACCCAGCTGGATGCTCTGTCGGAGTGATTGAAATAGGTGTTTTCCCCTGACTGCAGGCCTGATTCAAGATAATGACAGTTTGAATGGCTCCTACTTGGATCCCAACTACCAGTCTATAAAGTGGCAGCCACATCAACAGAACAAGTGGGCAACTCTGTATGATGCCAACTACAAAGAACTGTGAGTAATTCATCCACCTTTGGAGAAAGTCAGATTCACCTTTCGTGTATCGGTGGCAAGAGACTGGGGTTGGGGGCATTGTACTCACAAGACAGGACAAGGATTGTCCTGAGCTCCCCCTTGTCCTCTCCTGTCACCTGCTGATCTCTGCTTGCTTGCTGGGCTGTGGGGGAGATACTCTCTCTGCTGAACCTTTGCCATTGGGAAAGTTACTTCTCCGCGCTTCTTCAGGACTGATGGAGGATTAAGAAATGGGGCTGGCTCTGTAGGAGCCAGCAGAAGGCAGTTCAGCAGCTTTGGTGGCAATTCAGCAGCCACTCAGACCTTGGTCTGCCATGGAGGGTTGTATTGGCAAATACAGCCTTGCCCTGAGCATGGTTTGGACCTGCAGCGGCCCTTCCTCCTGCCCAGGCTTACCAAGGTCCTGGATTTTAAAATAAGTGTTAGGATTTCCTAGACAATGCATAGCATGGATGACTGGAGGTAATCTAGAGCCACTTCAGCACAGCTTGAGAGCAGCATAGAAAGGAGCCTGGGGAGGAGGAGTGGGAGCGGTTGATGGGCAGAGGAGGAAAGGAAGAGAGAAAGAATGGAAGAGGGAAGGGGTCGAGGAAAGCTGGGAAGCCAGGAGGGGCAGCGAGCTGGCAGAGAGGCAAGGGGAGTGAGTGGAGAGGAAAGCTGGGGTGACCAAGGCGGGTGGAAAGGAGGTGGGCTGGGGGGGCTGCGCGGAGCTGGGAGCTGGAAAGAGAGGCTGGGGCAGAGGAGGGTGGAGGCAGCACGTGGACAAGCTGCATAGGGAAAGAGGAGTGCTCAAGAGGAAACCACTCTGGATCCTCCCTGCATTCCTTGGAGGTGACCGAGAGCTGGCAAGCAGCAGGCTGGGTTCCAGGAACTGCTCGCCGAGCAAACGAACCCCGCTGTTTCCCCTCCTCCTCTTTCTGCACAGCCAGTGGCTGGTAAGGGTCCTCTCGGGGGACACAGAGTAGGGGGTGCTCTGTTGTCTGCGATACCGAATAACCCCAGATTATTTTCACACTTTTCCTGGATGGTGCTGAGGATGGGAGCCAAGGACCCCAGGTGAGGCCAGTCGTGGAGGCAGACTAGGATCTGTGACGTGCAGGGAAGCTGCGGCTGCAAGCCCCGGCCCTTCTGCACACAGATCTCCTGCCCAGCCAGCCCTAGTCCTTGTACGGTCTTTAACGCAGACCTGGTGGTGACAGGGGCATGCTATGGGTTGTTCCCCTGCAGAAGAGTGGCTGTTGGAGTTGGTTACTGCCTTGATGACATTCTGTCATTTGCAAAGACTGTGTTTGTGGCTGTTTCCCCAGCTGCAGCAGGAGTGGGGTGATTAGGGGAGATGGTTACTTCTGTTTTACTGAACTGTTTCCATAAAGGAAGCTTCTCCCACCTTCAGGTGGAATATCAACTACTTCTGGGAACTTGTGAGCAGCTCCAAAGTCCAGTCCTGCAGCCCTACTCCTGCTCTCCACCATCAATTTGCTTTTCTGTAGACTGGGGGACAGGGGAAGCTGACCATCTCTCGCTGAGCACGGTCACGCCACAGTCCCCAATTCCTGCTTTCCCACACAGGACAGTGGTGTTTGCATTCAGCTCCCACCCGCTCTGAGTGCTGTCTGGACACGTCACCTCTATCGCTTGGTTTTGAACCAGGGTCTGGGAGTCACTGGGCAGTCGCGATGCTGCTGTTTTCCTACCTGACAAAACGACCTTCAGCTTTTGCTGCTGTTCTTGTTTCTCCCAGACTCTGTTTTTGTGCCAGTACTGCCTCCAGCTGTGAGCCTCAGTATCTTTTCCCCTTGTCAGAAGGCTTCTTGAGAAGTGGAGGCACCAGGAGAAGCGAAACCCTCTTCTCTAACTTGGGCAATGCTTGGTCACAGCCTGTCAGTCTCCGGAGCGGCCTCTCTCTCACTGTCAATCTCCGCAGGGCTTTCACTATGTGGCAGAAGCACAAACGCACCTTGTGTAGTGAGCAGGCTCCAGTGAGCTCTGTGCATTGTAGGCGCAGACCTTTCGCACGGCCTCGCTTTTCTCTGACATAATGAGTCCGCTTTTCCTTCCATCTCACTGTTTACCTGCGCTGGGTAAATGGTTTCTCATCTGAAACACGTCACAAGTCGTTCAGCTTGTCACGGACTGTTTGCAGGTGTTACAGTCCCTGTTCCAGAGATTTGCCGTGCACCCTGGTATCGTACAGGCAGACTGGCAGAAGCAAACTACACCATATTTTCTGCTAGGGACAGAGAAGTTGCTGGGGTGCTGCAAACCACAGCTTTTAACTTCTGCGAACCCAGCCCTGCTCTGCCGTGTTCTTTGGATCTGTGCTTGGGATCACTTGCCTAATACCTGCTTTTAGGATTTAGGGCGAAAGCCAGAGCGAACCTACTTCTGTGGCATTTAGGTCATCATCCCGTTGTGTAATGAATAAATTCCTTTTAACTGACTTCATGTAGATTTTAGGAACCCACGTGCAGTTTGTTGTGGCGCTGGATTTGACCAGAATTAAGGGTTAAGGTCAAGGGTTGATCGATTCATTTTTAGTCACACACTACCTCGGTGGACTCTTCCTTCTTTGCGGTGGGTTCAAGGCCAGGTAGCTCTAGGAGAGCCTGTGCAAGCTGAACCTACATCTCTTTCTAAATGGAAGATCGCTTAGTTCTCCCGGTACAGCACTGCACTAGAACAGATCTATGAGAAACACCAAAATATCGATCTTCCCTTCCTTCTTCTAAAATGGCATTTTCTAGGTTGACTAATTCATGTTTTAGCAGGTAGGGGTCTTCTTCCTTTCTGCCTTTTGGATATACTCAGCAAATGAGCAGGCATCTGTGACTCTTTGAGATCCATGAGTATTTCCACAGTTTAGTTTCCTCTGAGATCATAAAGCAAGGCCAGCTGTTCCTGGTCTGTTTTCTGCTGGAAGCTGTTCTCTGGTTTGTATGTGCTGTTAGAGTTTCCTGCCCCTAGAGGGAACATATTTTTTCCCCTGCAATCCAGGTGCCCGCAACCTATTCACAGCCCCAGGAATTTAAATCATCTGAATCATCTGATTTTTCCTACTCTTGTTCTTAAGAAAAGAGACCAGGAAGGTAGGTTAAGGAGGGAGACCATAGGAAGCTGTTCAGGTTCTTACCCCAGCATGGTACTCAAGAGCTTGTTGGTGTTTTAATAGCAATTGGTGCACACAAAGAGCAGCTCTGTGCCCTGGAGTGTGCAGAAGATTGACTTCTCAAAAGCCATCCCTGCAGGTCCACCCAGCTGTGTGCAAGGGATAAGAACCTGCATCCAGCCTGTAGCATTTCCACTAAGAAGGACAAGTGCTCGCAGCCTCCACAGAGGGGAATTTTTCAGTTTTGTAGTGCTTTCTCCTGTTCTGCCTCAGAGAAAGCCAGGCCAGTGGTTACTGCTGCACAGGAGAGATCCAGCTCTGCTTCTGCATCTAGGCAGGACACTTTCTGTTGGGCTGGTGGAATAATTGCTTTGTCGTACTTTATTTAATATAGTTTTGAACCTATACAGAATAGTTTATGCTTGTGCCTGTGGATTTATGTGTAACATTCCATGCTAAGTATAATCTTACAGGGCAAAAAATACAATGAAATGATATTCCATGTTCTCCTCCTCGTGCACACACAAAATTAGGTCCCTTAGTATAGAATCATTTAGGTTGGAAAAGACCCTTAAGATCATCGAGTCCACTAGTAACCATCACAATGTTTTTTGTTCGTGAAAGAGTTTTCTGCTATGGTTTGTGATGATCAATAGCCCTGTGAGAGTTTGTTCCAGCTTGTATCAGCACTGTTCAAGCCCGTTTAACAGCTCTCTCTTCTTATGCAGTGAGTGTAGCTGTCACATCAGATCATATTTGTTCTCGTGTCTGTGGATATGTGGAAAATTTCATCTCCGTTCAGTAATTTTCCTGGCAGAATGCTACAGAGTAGGGGCCCTTCACCATTTCTCTTTTTCTGCTGTTCTGGGCTCCGTCTTGGAGCCAGGCTCCTTCTCAGCCATTGCCAGGGCTTGATGACATGAGGACAGCATAGTGGGGATCTGAACTAATTCTGTCGTTCCTAAGTAGCTTTTTCTGCCTTCTAAGAGACCTGTACAGTGAATTTTGTTGTGTGAATGGCAACAGATTCCCCATCCCCAGGCAGGCGTGGAGAAGGAGCAGCCCTCTGCCAGGAGAAGTGCAAAGGAGAGCTGGGCTCATATGAACTACACAGATTTAATTTTGACACAGACTTCCTAGAAGTAGGCTGGATGAAGGAAAGGTTGCTGCTTGGATTCGAGTGGAGGTGCCTGGAAATCTGCGTCTTGGCTTGCTGGGCTTGTGTCTCAGGCTTTGCTTATGTGGGCTGAGGAATCTGCGTTGGTTGAAGGAGACCAAAGTCTCTGGATTAGTTTTATTGATAATATATTTCTTCTTGGCCTTTTGCACTGGTTTTGTGGTTTCAGACTCACTGAACCTTCAAAAGGGTTAGCTGGTTTCCAGCAGCGGTGCCAAAGAGGCCTGGAACCAGGCAGTTCGCTAATTTACTCCTGGGAGCAGGAGTAATTCATCTCCCTGACAGCGTGCTCTGATAAATGCCAGCAGGCTCCCTCCTCCCTCTCCCCATTTGTTTACAGTTTGAGGTAAGGCAGCTGGCGAAGGGTAGTGCAGCGCTCACCAGAAACATTTCCGTGCTGAGGCCAGAATCTCTCTGCTCTGACCCTGGGAACTGGGCTGGTGCCGTTCTCTTCCCATCAAGCAAACTGGTGCTCTCCGTGTGCTCTCCCCCGAAGCTCAGGTCTGCGGGGGGAGCTTTCAGGCTTGCACTCCTTGGTTGGAAGAAGTGTCCTTATAAACAGCATCAAACCTGGCCTTGCTGCAGATCCTGGATCTCACGCAGGGGACGGAGACCAGTGTGACGTGCTCCGGTCCTCCTGGATGTGTTTTGGGTTAGGCGATGCGGTGCGTGGGCCAGCTTGGCTAATTCCGTGGTGACGGATCACAGAGGGCTCGCTCTCTCGTGCTGCGAGTGTCTGTCAGGCAGCTGAAGGGACCACGTACGGTGCTGAGCCGTGGACGTGCCGGCGGGGCTGCGTCAGTCTAGTGTGGACTGGGTGAGATGGCAACGTCATGCTGCTCAACTGTGGGTTCCTTCATCCCGGTGTTTGTGTCCTGGAAGAGAAAAAAAGCAGGGACTGCATGGAATTAGTGAGTGGTCCTTGAATTAGGGGGTCTTACGCATTGTGTCTTAGGAGTGGTTGGGATATTGGGGAACCTGGAAGGAAGGAGGAGAGAAACAGGGGAGATTTTTCTTCCAGAGAGGAAACAACTGAGGCACGTGAGCATCCCTCTGACGGTCCTGCCTTCAGGCACAGATCCCAGTACAGTTCCCTTTTCATCAGAGACACTTTTCTCCTTGCAGTGCCTTTCCCTTTGCTTTGCACTTTAATGTAGAGGGCGAGGGTGCTCCCTGCTCCTCTAAGTGCGGATGTGGGGAGTTTGTAACCTCTAACCCACCGAGATTGGGAGAAACCTCCTCTCCTCTGATCCTGGCCTTCTGAGTCCTGCCTTAACCTGCTTTTGTCAGTGGGGGCATTTTGGCTAAAATAATCCGTTTGACCCCAGACCTTTTATTCCTGACACTTTGCCCTCTGACCCCTCCACTCTCCCTGCGAAAAGCCAGCACGGCTTTGGTGCCTGCGGGACGTTGACTTGTCAGGGGCTGGTGTCATCCCTAATCCCAGGAACCGCTTCAGCCTCAGGGTCACCTGCCCTTCCTTCTCCTACCGCCCCGTTCACGGCAGCCGTCCATCCAGAGAACACATCTCCAGAGGGGCACGCTGCCTGAGGATCAGGTCCGGAGCTTTAGGTGGTGACCCTAAAGTCCCTGTGGGTTAAGAAGAAGGGGAGGATGTTTTTTTAGAAGTGTCACCGGAGTCCTTACAGTGCCGCAGACAGCGATGTCTTCGCACCACATGGCAGCAGGGGGAGCGGGTTTGCTGCTTCCAGGTGGGATTTACAATGTGAGAGTAAAAAAGCACTGGAACAGGAGATCTGGGGGGTAACCTGCCCTGCAGCGGGGGTGATCTGAGAGCAGCTCCTTGGGTCAGCCAGCAGCGACGGGCTGAAGGCAGAGGGCTGGGGAGATCCCTGGCCTCTCTGATACCTGGAGAGCAGCTTCTTGCCTCCACAGTACCCCAGTGCAGGTATCCTGCTTTGGGGGATGCAGCAGCCACAGCCATCGAGGCAAACTCAGAGAAAAGGAGCCTCTGAGAAGGGGACCCTGGAGGGACCGGGTGTTTCTAGAGGACAGAGGAAGGGGAGCCCAACTGTCTGCCCTCTCTCAACACATGTGTTTAGCAGCCATTGGTTTGAGTGACGTTAACCAGAGCACGTTTGGGAAGCACCCGTGGTTTGGAAGTTCAGTCAGTCCCTCCCTCTCCTCTGCTTTCTCTGTTAAAAACCAGTGAACAAAGTGAAAACAAGTGGTGAATGCTCAGGGGTCCTGGGCAGATGGAGGCAGCTCAGCAGGCAGAGACGGGGCTTGGTGAAAGCAGTCGGGAAGGGGTCCAGCTCCCGGGGGGTGAGTGCGGAGGGTGCTCGGGCCAGCCCAAACCACAGCTCCCCATCAGGAAGAGCCAGACAGAGAATTGGGGGCTGAGGCTGGGAGGGTGAGAGCGCAGGGGAATTCCTCTCGTGCTTCTGGGCTAAGGTAGTGCTCTGCTCCCACCGTCTGGTTTGTGTTCAGGGCACGGCATGGCAGCCCCGGGTCCCTTGGGTGCAAGAAATGAGTTGTAGTTGCTCACGGCCATCCTGGCATTATTCATGGCTGCCTGGAAACACCCACAGGTTTCATCCACATTAACCCCTCAAGTGTGTGGGGGGGGAGAATGGCTTTCCTCCCAGAAGAAAGGAAGGGACAGCAGGGGAGCAAAAGTGACCTTTCCATAAGCTCTTGCTTCCCAGAGTCTGCTGAGATCTGCCTCATCTGTCGCTGTCAGTCTGTCCACCTCCCCTCCCATTGCTCTGGGCAGTATCCGTCTGTCTGTGTTAAGAATTGGAGGTGGAAGTCAGAAGTGGTTTGCTTTTGTGGAAGCAGGCTCCGCGATTTTTAAGCCTGAGGATGTCAAAGGCTGGGCTGAGCTGCCCTTTACCTCATCCGTAGTTCTTTAATTAAAAACAATGGGATTTGGGTGTTCTGCGAGAACTGCTTGATGGGGAGGCGGGATGAGAGACATCTCCTTCCCCTCTGCGTAGGGCGGGCAGCGCCCGGGGGGCCCACCAGCCCAGGTCTGGGTTTTTGGATGGTGAGAGAAAGGGGACTTGCTGCAAAGGCCACATATTTCCCTCGTTCCCATGGTAACCAGCCCATTAAGGAGATGTAGATTAAACCTCCCCAGCTGGTGTGTGTTCATCGGGCAGCCGGGGCCCCCTCCTCCTCCTCTGGACATGCCTGCTGGGAGCTGGAAGCTTTTCGGAACAGCCGGAGCAGGTGGTTGTGATTTCAGCAGGAATCCGGCACACAGGCAGTCCCGCCCGGTAGCAGGGCCAGGGCAGGTGATGTCGGAAATGCGATGGGTGAAGCGAGCGGAGGTGTGGGACACCCCCCCCAGGTCAGCCTGAGCTGCTTCTCCCAGCAAGCAGCATTCAGGGGTCTGCTCCAGGCTTTGGGCAGGCTGTGGAGTGTGGTATCTCCAGTGTGTGTTGAGCCAGGGCTAAGCAGCTGCACTTTTTAGGAGCAGCACTCAGAAAGCAGATGCTAGCCCGCTGTGGCTCATATTATACTATGTTTATAGCATTAGTACTATAGCGTAGCATGTAGAGGGGCGGTTGCCGCAGCATCCTCATCAAATCCTAGTCACAGGAACCATATGTCTTTCCAGCTGAAGACCCACCTAAAGCAAAACTTGCAGCTTCAAGGGAGGTAGGGACCTTCTCTGAACCCTCATCCGTGTACAGCAGGATGGGTTGCTGCGTGGGCTTAGGCAAGGTGTCGGGTTCATGTCAGGCAGCGCTCATCAGCCCTGCGAGCACCCGAGAGCAGCGTCAGCGTGAGGCAGGAGGGGCAGCATCAGAGGCTGTCTCTTTTGCCTCAAAACAACCCTCCTTCCCCTCCCATGTGCTTCCCCCCGACAAGCGTAAGCCTCTCGCGGTGTGCCCGGGGCTCTGGTCTAACGCCTGCTGCCTTTTCCACAGCCCAATGCTCACGTACCGCGTCGATGCTGACAAGGGGTTCAACTTCTCGGTGGGTGATGACGCCTTTGTGTGCCAGAAGAAGAATCACTTCCAGGTCACGGTCTACATCGGCATGCTTGGAGATCCCAAGTATGTGAAGACCCCCGAGGGCCTGAAACCCTTAGAGTGCTTCTACCTGAAGCTGCACGGAGTGAAGGCAAGCAGGAGCTAAGGGCCAGCAGTGAATCCAGCAGGGAGAAGGGGTGCTTGGTAGACGGCAACACCATGTCTTCGTGTGCAAAGTTGTAGGGGAGTGCGTAGGAGAGTGCTGAAGGCCAGAACAAGGCACATCTTGAAATATGAGTCCTAAGATGGACTCAATCCCTGCCTGGGTGTCTTCAGGGCTGCCTCTCACTCGCTTTTGACTCCAGAGGTATATAGGCACTTTGGGAAGATCCTTTCACCCTCCCCTTGCCAAGGGAGGCACCCATGCTCGGGCAATGACCACACTCAGGTTGGGTGTTGCAAGTCAGTTGTCCTGAGTCCTAGGAGGGCTGGGCAGACAGCTGGCCTGTGCTGGAGAGAAGGAGGTGGGAAGGGGAAGGTTTTGTCTGTCCGCTCTTTGTCACATGCCCAAATCTTCCTCTTCAGCTAGAGGCCTTGAACCAGTCGATCAACATAGAGCAGTCCCAGTCTGACCGCAGCAAACGGCCCTTCAACCCCGTCACGTGAGTATTGCCCAGGCTATGTTCACGTTGGGGAAGAGCGACTGGGGAATAAGCAATGGCAGAAGAGGGTGAGGAAAGGGGCTGGGTCGGAGGCTGCAGAATAGTACTGTGGGTCTCACGCTCTCCACTTTTCTCCTCTGTTTCCCACAGCAAAGTTTTCCTCTACATTCCCTACTCTGCTCTGTTCCCAGCTTATAGACCTGCCTTGGTGGAGCAGGCCAGGAGATGGCCGATCCCCAAAGAACCTCCTCTCCAGCGGTGTCCTCACTCGCTCCTCTGTTTTCCCTTCCCCAGGGTCAACCTGCCTCCAGAGCAGGTCACCAAGGTCACCGTGGGACGGCTGCACTTCAGCGAGACCACGGCCAACAACATGCGGAAGAAAGGCAAACCCAACCCGGACCAGAGGTCAGGAGCAGAGATGCCTTCTCCAAACTGTTCTGGGCACTCAAGATGGATGTGCCAGTCCCCTGGGTTGGGGAGTGTGGCTGGAGGGAGGGGGACATGTCCTGAATTGGCCATCTTTGTCCATGTGGAGGAAAGCAGGTGTCTGCTGTGGCCACAAGAAGGGTCTCCCCCCACCCTGTGAGGGGTTGGGGACAGTGCAGAAGGAGAAGGGGCTGTGCCAAGCCCACCATGACAGCTTGGTGCCTCGTCCTCCAGAGGGGAAGCACACTCGGCAGTTCCCGGTGCAGGATGGCACCCTGACCTCTGTCCCCTCTTGGCAGGTATTTCATGCTCGTGGTAGCCTTGCAGGCACACGCGCAGAACCAGAACTACACTCTGGCAGCCCACATCTCTGAGCGCATCATCGTCAGAGTAAGTCCCTCTCTCCTCCCTCAGCCTCAATGGGTGCCCCACAGCCCTTTGCTGGATATCCTGGGCAATCCTCCTACTTTCCTCTGGCTTTTCAGTGCTTTCTCCACCCAACCCTTGCCTACCTTCTCCAAACTGTCACTGCCTTGCTTGTAGCTATCCCTATCCTCACCTGGGTTCTGGCTCCAGCCTTTCCATCCTACTCAGTCAGACCTGCTCAGGGCATGCAAGAACCTGTTGCAGGATGGGGAAGGCATCCCGTTCTCCCAAGGTTGGACCGGTACCCAGGGTAGAGCTGTTGGGAGTGAGAGAACAGTGTTGTTGGGACTCTGCAGCAGGGACAAGGTCTCCAGGTGCAGGAAGACTGGGCACCTTCCCAGGGCAGCACCTTTTGCATGTGCTAAGGCAGCAGTGCTCAAATGCAGAGGAGCAGGAAGAGATAAGCACCATCCCCAGGCTCTCCCGGGGCTCTGTTAGAGCACTCAGCTCCAAGGCATGAAGGCAGGGCGTAAAACACAAACAGAGGGACCTCAGAATCTGCAGACAAGTAAGTCCACAATGAATTATGCAGCCTCCAGGGTGCCCAGAGCAGAACTGCAGGGAGTTGCAGGCAGCCTGGACTGCCCCATCTCAAACTGCGAGTGGGTCACAGAACAACAGCAGCAAGCCAGAACCCTGGGATTTGGGACCTGGAGCAACACCCATGTCACTCACAGTCTCCTCCTGCTGTCCTATGTGGTTCTGGTTGGGGTTGTTGGAACAGCTCTGAAAGCTGAGAGAACAGACAGCTCAAGAAAGCAAGGATATTCCTTTAGGGAGAGGAGCGGAGCAGGCATAGCCTTAGTTCCTGCGGAGAGAGGCTTAGACAGGGCCAGCAGATGAATGCCAAGGCTGTCTCTGCTGTAAGGGCAGGCTGGGATCTGTTCCCAGGGCTGGCAGTGGATCCCTGCCCCTGCCGCCTTGCTTTGTGCTGCCGCAAAGCTCTGTCTCGCACCTCTGTGGCCTTGCTTGTCCTTTGCTGGCTCTGCCCAACTCCCTGCTGTCCCTCCTGCGAGGCTGGGGCTGCCACAGCTCAGCCTGGAGGTCTTCCTAGGGCTGTAATTCAGTGTGCTGCAGGCTGGAGAGGGCATCCATGCCAGGATCTCGTGACCTGGACTGTTCATCCCAAAAGCCCCCTCCCACTGCTCAGGGTACCTGGGTGAATGTGCTCCAGTTTTAGCTGAGATCTTCCCCGTCCCCATTTCCCTTCCGTGGAGCAAAGATGCTGCTGTGCTTCTGCTAACACCGAGCTTGGTTTCGCGGCTGTTTCCCACTCACGCTAAAGGGGACGGCACACTGCTGCAGGAGGGTGCCTGGCACCATCCAGGCCACTGCAGCAGCGTGGGGCTCTCTGATGTCCATCTGTTGCCCCTGGCTTCTCCTGCTATACAGTCCCTCTGCAACGCGCATAGAGGGATGGGTCTGTGGGCCTCTCCTGGCATCCTCACTCTGTCTACATCTCAGAGTGTCTCTGCCCAGCAGCACTGCAGCATTTCTCCCCAGTCTTGCTACTGCTGCTTTTCAGTCCCCACTACCCTGTCTCTCCGCAGGCCTCCAACCCTGGCCAGTTTGAGAGTGACAGCGATGTGCTCTGGCAGCGGGCACAGCTCCCTGATACTGTTTTTCACCACGGTCGGGTTGGCATCAACACGGACCGCCCCGATGAAGCCCTCGTGGTCCATGGCAATGTGAAGGTCATGGGTTCTCTGATGCACCCTTCAGATGTCCGAGTGAAGGAGGACATCCAGGAGGTAAGAGCCAAGCAAACCAGGGTAGGTTTGTGGTGATCAGGGGTCTGAAGAGGTACCACAGAAAGTGTGAGTGTCCTTGTGAACCTGTTTCGGCTGCTGATTTTGGCATAGTCCTTACGGGCAGCCTGAGTTCCTATTGACCAGATGGGAAGCACCTTGGTAGTCTGTCTGTCCCTGTCTGTCCCAAACACAGCCTGTCCACCGTGTCTTAGGGAATATTGACTCTTCCACTGTTAGCCAGAACTAGCAAACACAGAAGTTACAAACCTGGAAACAGGTGAGTATGTCAGACAGCACACTGGGGCTTGCCAGAGCCTGGGTGAGAGGCTCAGCTCTGCTCTGAAGTCCTCTCAGCTGGATGTCCCTGTCCAGAAAAGCTGGGTACAATCATGTCTCATATTTATGAGAACTGCCTCAGTCCTGTGCGTGGTTGTGCAATGGGACTCAGCCTCTGCCTGGCTTCACTACCCAAGGAACTTGTCCAGTGACAAGAACTGGAGATTAAGCCCAGTGCAAATGCTGTTCATCCCAGTGCCTGGTCTGAGCAGGGTTCAGGGCTGTCTCACAAAGTGCTGTCTCACAAAGGTATTACCATGAGCCATAGTGGGTTTTGCTGCTTGGAGTCAGTGTCGTGGGAACTTAAGAAGCAACACCCCGCTTAGGAGTTGCACGTGTCTGTTTTGTCCCAGGTGGACACCACAGAGCAGCTGAAGAGGATCTCCCGTATGCGGCTAGTACACTACAACTACAAGCCTGAGTTTGCGGCCACAGTGGGCATTGACAACACCTCTGAGACAGGTACGGACCCTGTGTCACACCACCGTGACCTGCTTGCGTCTGCAGTGCTGGATGTCGCGTTCTGCAACCTACAGCGGCATTTTGTTCGTGGTGCCAAAGCGGCACTGCCCTGCCTTCCCTGGCAGCTGTACCCAGCCCTGCCCAGGGACAGCCCCCCAGGCATGGGATAGCAAAGAGGGGGCTTCTCACCAGCTGAAGTTTAGGCATCTAATGAAATTCCCTCTATTAGCGAGCAGGAAAGAACATGGCACTTCCCGCAGGTGGCTTATAGGGCTTCTGTGATAAGGCTTCTCCGAGTACCCACCTCTCTCCAGGGGTGCAGCTACACGCTGCAGCGGGGTGATGCAGATACCCCTGTCCACGTCATCTGGGAACCAGCCTTGTCTGAACAGCCTCTGCTCTTCTGTTGCTGAGCCTGTATGGGGCCATGGGGCCTCCAACGAGCTCTGCCTGGCCCTGCACAGGCTGGGGTGAAGGGAGGACAGCCCTTGGGTCGTCCCCAGTGAACAGGGTTCCTGCCGACGACCACATGGGCTGGAGAAAGAGCTGTGGCAGGAGGAGCCCTGCCCAGACCACCTTGACCCACTGTGCTGTTTCCACATAGGTGTCATTGCTCAGGAGGTAAAGGAGATCCTCCCTGAAGCTGTGAAGGACACCGGGGACCTGGTCTTTTCCAATGGGAAGACCCTGGAGAACTTCCTGGTGGTGAACAAGGTCAGTGGCAGCCCAAAGGGGCAGGAGTGGCTGGGAAGCTGTCGAACCTGGCTCAAGGGAGTTGCAGAGCTGAAAATGGAAGAGGGAAATTGTGATGCCTGGGAAATGTTTCTGAGCCAACACCACCCATATGAGTTTCAGACCTGGCTGGTCTTTCAGATGTCAGGAGCAGCCCTGGGTGGACGGCAGACATCAGCAGGGAGGAACTAGCCTGATGTTGGTGAAAGTTGGCAGCATCTCCCGCAGGAAGGGCTCCTTGTTGGCAGCCTCCTGTAGGGAGGCTCTTAGTCATAATCTCTCCTTTCTGGATAAGATAAGGTGGTTATGTCAAGATAACCCAGAGCACCTGGCTGCCTGACCTCTCCGTAACCTGTGGCAGCATGTTTGCTGCTCTGGGCATCAAGGGGACAGCCTCCTTGTAGCATACATCAAGGGGACAGCCTCCCAGAGCTGCCAGCTCTCTCCTGCATCACTCTGTCCAGAGTAGAAATGGCCAGGACTGACCTTAGTGCCTTGTTTCTCCTTTGTGGAAGCCTAGATCCCTGCAGTTACATCACCAGCTAGCAGTAGCTGTGAGCGTGACCTTTTCTGTCCCATCTGCACATGGCCAGGCCGTTGCTGTCCTTTGTTTCTCTGTACAGCCCTCCAACAGGAGCTGGTGCACGCTGCAGAACAGTCTGTCGCAGCAAGCTGTGTGGTCTGCTCTAGCTGAGCTCCCCAAAGAGGCATCTACCCACTGCTACAAATTATCCATGGTGTCCAAGATGCTCTGAGCATAGTGCTGGACCAGCACACCAGGGACATGTTTTGCCTTAGGGAGCTCTGTATGGAGAAGTGGAGTGGCAGAATCCAAGGGTGGATAAGGGGCAGGGGCGATACCACAGTGCCGGCAGCAGTACGTGGGATGTAGCTGCAGTTGTGCCAGAGGGAGATGCTTGTGCTGGAACACCCTGCCTTTACCAGAGGGGCTGCAGGAGGAAGATTGCTCTCCAGAGGCTTCTGGATTTGGGCTCTCCATTGGTCTGGATCAACTGTCTGTTGGATAATGCTGCCGAATAACTCCAGCAGCTTGCGCTGTAGAGCAAGGGGCAGAGAAGGTGTAGATGGAGAGCATTGCTTATGTGATTTGACCAAGGGCTCCTGATGAAGATGGGGACTTTGTGTCTGTCCTTTGTGACTGAGGAGGACTCTTTGGATTAGCATCAGTGGGACACCTCAGGGATCCTGCACCAACATTTATTGTTTTGATTGGGTTTGAAGAGGGTATCTCTTGTTCTCGTATCCAGGGGCTGTAGAGATCTAGATGTGCCATGTTGGATGATTCCCTACCCCCAGAGCTGGCTGTTGTGTAGCCTTTCCCCTGTGGCAGGGCATGGGAGAGCAGTCAGGGTGGCCAGATCCACGGGAGCAGGAATGCCTCCACGTGCCAGGCCACTCAGACTGCCAACCTGTTCCCTGGCAGGAGCGCATCTTCATGGAGAATGTGGGAGCCGTGAAGGAGCTGTGCAAGCTGACAGACAACCTGGAGACCCGCATCGATGAGCTGGAGAGGTGGAGTCACAAGCTGGCCAAGCTCAAGCGGCTGGACAGCATGAAGTCAACCGTGAGCTCTGGGGCATTCAGGTATGGGCATACTGAGGGCATGGGAGCCAGAAGGGATGTCTTCTTTTGAGCCCAGGCAGCCCTGAGTGATAGCTTGGTTTGGGAAAGGGGAGACGGGGAGGAGCGGTGGGGCGTTGGCAGTTGTCATTTGGCCTGGGGTAGATTCAAGGAGCTGAGATTGGTGAGACAGGTCTGGCATACACATACCAACAGCCTGCTCTTAGACAAGCCCAAAAATCCCAGTACAAAATTATCTCCACATTTCCCTAGAGCGAGTGAGTGACTTTCTCAGGGCAAAGAGTTTCTCATGCTTCCAAAATCATCGTCCTGACCCTGGTCAGCTTATGCAGGTTTGGGGGCAGAATTCAGGCTCTCTGGGCAAAGGACCAGCACTGCACCTACCCCCAAGCAGATGAAGTGACAAGGGTTTGTGACTGTCATGCCACAGAGATTTCTCCCCCAGCAGAGAATCACATTTTTGCCTGGGAATCGCTCCGAGTGCTGTCCCTGCACAGCTCAGCTCCATTCCTCCTTTCTCCTTGCAGCCAAACAGGAAGCCAGTTCAGCCGTGCGGGAAGCATGCCCCACAAAAAGAGGCCCCACAAAGTAGCTAGCAAGGTAAGAGACTGCTCCCGAAGGAGCAACGCTTTGCAGGGGAAGGTGGCCTCTCTGGGAACAGTCGTCTGCATGGTCCTCATGTGTTTTCTTACACATGCTGCAGAGGGAGTGACCCTGTCTGCTCCCATTTCCATGATCTCTCCTTCCTTTTTGTCCATGCCTAACGAAGATGTTTATGTCTTCTGCACTGAGGGGATTCAGGGCTTGCAGGGGAACTGGAAGAGAGCTTGGGATGGGCTGGGTGAGATCGGTGCGAGGCTAGAGCAGTAAGGAGTCCTGAGCTGATCTTGGGGTTTTTCTCTTGCAGTCACCGTCGGTTGTCCCAGAACAGGCGTGCATCAGCCAGCGCTTCCTGCAGGGCACCATCATTGCCCTGGTCATCATCATGGCATTCAGGTGAGACCGCACGCCCAGGCTGCCGCTCTTCCACTGTCTCGCTCCAGCTCATCGGTTTGGCCCATGCCATCTGTGGGGTGTGTAGTGAGGGGCTGTGGACCTACAACTTCTTTCATGGGCTGAAATCCCTTGGAAGCAGATCAGTACTGTGACACATCCCTTGCCCCGTGCCCGTCCTCAGCCTGTACCTCTCTCTTTCTTTCCAGCGTGGTGTCCATGTCCACACTCTACGTGCTGAGCTTGCGCAGTGAAGAGGACCTTGTGGATATCGATGGGTAGGTACTTCTGGGCTCTGTGGGAGGCATGTGGTGACCCCGGGGGAGTCGGAAATGCAAAAAGCAGCCCCTGTGGAGTTACTGAGCACGGTTCCAGTGAGTCAAGCTGTAAAGCCAACCAAATGCATCCTCACATCCAAGTCTGATGTCAGTTAAATTATCTGGAGCAAGAAGTGAGGAACAGAGAAGAAAAAGAAAATACCCAGTTGTTTGGCTCCTCACATATCCACTCGTGGCCAGTCTGAATGTTCCTTGGATGCCTCTTCAGCTGCACTAAAACAGAATCATCCCACTGATTGCAGTGGGGCTAGACCAGTCTGTACTAGGCAAGAGTTTTCCTCTGCAGACAGTGTCCTTAGTGTGGAGAGAGCATTGAGGGAACAGCCCGAACCCGGCAAGCGTGCACACGGGCAGCCTGTGCTAGGCATTCAGTTTTGGGCACACTTGACTCCTTTGGGAGCTCGCATTACCAGATAATGAGTCTCTTTTTCTCTCTCTCTTCTCCCTGTCCTATTTCTCTCCCTCCTGTTCTGGTTACATCTCTCATCCAACCCATTTTCTTTCCACTTTGTCTTTTATTTTCCCATTCTTGTCTTTTCATTTCCATTATCTTCCATATGCTCTTTCATTCCCCCCTGTCCTCCTCATCTTCTACCGACCTGCCTTTTCTTCCCATCTCCCTTCACTGCCCTGTAGCTCTTTTGCTGTGCCCACTGCCTGTCTCCTGGCCCTCTTTCGGCACAGGGGTCCTGGGGTCCCGGTCGCTCTATGTCCACGGTATGTTACTGTTTCATTATACTGTTATTTAATTGCTGCATCCCTTCTCTCAATTCCTCTTCTTTCTTCCATCTGTACCACAGAAGAGCAAGAATCTTAAGCAAAATTGAAAGCAAAGGAAGAGATATGAATATACCTCAGCAAGTGGGATGCCAGGAGGAAGGATTATGGATCTCATCAGGAAGGGGAAATTAGGATTAGGAGATTGAAGAACCAAGTAATCAAAGGCTAAATAAAGAAATTACATACTACAGGTAGAGCAGGAGCAGACAGTCTGAAAGGAGTGGAGGGAGTATGTAAAAAGAATGAAGACTTTGAAGACTTAGCCAAAGAGATGTTCCTACCCTCTCTTCATATGCCAGTAGCTTTATTGTGGAGGGTCACTCTCAAGTACAGGACAGCTTACTGTGCAAAAGAGGGACAGAAGAAAACCCTAAATTATTTCTTTTTATGAGCCATCACCCCTGGGAATGTTTGGAAAGATACTGACACAGGGAAGGCTGGCTAAGTCACTCATTAGGTACAGACCTGTAAAGCACCTCAGTTAATGGGATCTGCAGGGCTGCTGCAAAATACTTCCCTTAAAAGGAAAACAGGCCCTACCTGTTTATCAGCACCCTTTGAACAAAACACTGCATAAAGAGCGGTGGAAGGCACAATTAATTTATTCTTTTAAGAACTCCACATCAAAGTGTTTCACAGGAAGCTATTAAAAAATTAATTGCTTGTGGAATGCAAGATAAAGCTATGCATGGTAAGTGTTGACGAGGCAGTGGAGGAACATGAGGGACAGGGGTAGGTTTTTGGCTGGGGTGAAGGTTAGCTCCAGAGGCTGGTGCCCACATTCCCTCCAGGAGACTGGCGTTGTGTCTCCTTTCACCAGAAAAAGAAATACGTGTAATAAGATAAGTTGTGCGGGTGACAAAGTGGTATTTTGATTTCTCTAAATGAATGAAAGCTCCGTTTATCTTTGAGAAACTTTGAGCAATGCTAAGGGGACAGGCAAGACAGGGGTACGGGACAAGCAAAATGTGGGATGGATAAAACTGAACTGCTCCTATGCCTGGGCAGGGTCTGGACAGGTAAAATCTTGAACATCTTTGTTAGGAACTCAGTAAAAATTTCTGCTCAGTGGACAGCTACAGTGTATGAAGGCAAGACCCTTGGTTTACCCCACATCTCTGTAGGCTGTAGCTGGTCCCCAGAAGTGGTGTTGCTCTGGGCTCCTGTGCAGACAGGGGAATAAAACAGCACCAGGCAGCGGTTCCTCCGCTTTCATATCTGCCTTACTCTTGCGAGATGCCTGTGGTGTCCTCAGCTCAGATCTTAGTAGGTTCAGTGAAATAACTGAAATTATGTGGGATGAATCTGGGTGGGATTGTTCGTATTTCTGAAAAACAAGGTGAGGAACAGTCTGTCTCCGAGAGATAAGGGGCACCTCCCTTAGGGAATGGTGAATGCTTGGAGCCCCTTACAGACTTAACGTGTTAAGTGTTACTTACTTAACGTGTTAAGACCCAAGCACATAAATCCACCCCAGAGATCACTGTTGGAAATCAAGTCCACTGAGTACACCCTGTTCCAGTGAGCATCAAGGGAGCATGGCTGGTGTCCTCTGAACCAGCTGGGACTCATCCCTGCCAGACGTGGGACTGCCACACGATCTGCTGTGGCATTTCCTAGCTCTCCTTGCTGTCTTCACGGCTTGCGTGCCTCTCTCCTGCCTTGCCTTTCCCAGATCACTCTAGTCTCTGCTCCTCCTCACCCTTGCGCTCTCCACGTCTGCTCTTGCTTCATGTACCTGGTCCCATCACTCCACTCACTGCTACAGCCGCTTCTCTCTTCACATACAAGTGACACTGTTGTACCCTGTGGTAGAGGTTTTCACCGTATTTTCCTGCATTTCAGGTCAAGCCAGAACTTTGATAAAACGCAGATGGTGCAATCCACAGCTGCGTCAGACGGAGCCAGCGGCAGGACCCCCACGCACCAGGGTAGGTCGCAGCAGGGCAGGGGGCCTGGCAGACGCACGCAACGATGGGTTGTGGTGCAGGGTGATGAACGTGGCTGCTCCTCCGTGCCAGGGGCTTGCTGGCACTGTGCTGTCTTTATGCTGGGAGGTCCGAGGGCTCTGGTTTTGTGGAAGGGATGCCAGGGCTGCTTGGTGCCGCTCCTGTTAGATGCCTCTCCCCTTGACTTACTCCACACGTCCCTGCTGTTTGCCCTACAGTCACAGAGGACACACATGACTTATTCTTCGGCTTACCTGGTCACAGCGTGCTAGTCTGCTTCAGCCCGCCGTGTTTCTCCACGTGCTGCTCTGCTCCTCCCACCAACGTCTCCTCTGTTGCCCTCTCTGAGACCAGCCCCACTCATGCCACTAACCGGACAGGTAAGTACCAGCCCAGGCACCCAGGAGGTGCTGGAACAACACCGAGGTCTGTCTCGCCATTGCGTCACCTCGTATCCCCAGCCCCGTCTCACCTCGTGTCTTACATCTGCACGTTATGAAAAGGACGTGCAGCCTGCCCTTCAAAATGTGCCTGGTTTCCTCTGCACCCACTGCCCAGGTTGAGAGCTGCTCCAGCAGGCAGCTGTGGGGCAAAGTGGGTCTGCCAGGCTGTGAACAGCCTTTGCTGCCCGTGTGGCATGGTTCAGACATCCATGATCATGCTGCCAGGGGTAAGTGGGGGCTGGAAAGACTTTGGAGCTGCCTGCTTTGCCAGCACGAAGTCATGAGAGGCTACGCCAGGCTGGCCAGCGTGCCCGAGCAGCCGTACCTTGCAGTCTGACCTCATTCCTCTGTTTGCTTTGAGCAGGGTTCTGACAGGCCGGGAGGTGTGCTGCCTCTTGGCTGCCCAAGCTGGGCTTTTGCAAGCTCACTTGCTCCGTCATCGTCGCTGTTGCAGGAGGAACAGCACCCCGGGGCAGTCGCTGCAGAGCCATGACACCCCTGGAGTCATGCCTTAATCTTGCTTTAAACACTGTGCCCTACCTGAGCACAGGGCTGTGCCCCCTCTTTGTGCCCACAGCCTGCTCTAGCTTCCCTTTGCTGCGACGATCCCTCCAGCCCCTTCAGGCACAGAGGCTGGGAAGCCTCAGCTGCTCCCAGTGGGGTAATACGGGAGGTGACATGGGGACAGGACAAACCCAGAACTGGTAGCTGTTCTCTCTGCAGCGGTCCCAGAGGTCCGGAGTGCTGCCAGCCTCTCCCTGCCTCAGCATAACCTTTCTCTCCCTTTTCTTCACAGACCAAAGTCAGACCTCACTCCTGCCAGTGACAAATATCAAAGCCAAATCCAGGGGCATCACCGGGAAAGCGACCTCCTACACCAAGTGGCCAAAGACACCTGACAGGTCTCAGAGCTTCAGCAGCCCCAATGCCAGCCCCTCCTCCCCCTTCACCCACATCCAGGGCAAATCCAAGTACATCTCCAACCTCTCGCTCTCCCGCAGCAACTCCCCGCTGGGGCAGGCCCGGCAGCAGCGCAGCATCAAGCAGCCGGTGAGCGAGTGGCCCCGCACGGAGGATCCCGGCACAGATGGTAGGTGGACCCTATCTTCTTCCCTCCCTGCAGCGGCACCGGGGTCCTGGGTTCTCTCCTGGGGTATCCTCAACCAGCTGGGTCTCATCCATCCTCCACAGCTCTCGCTGTGTCCCTGTCCTGCAGCTTGTTTGCCCCCAGCTCTCCCAGCGCAGCCAGGTTCAACCTCCAGCCCTGCCCTTCCTCCCCCATGCTGCCCTACACTTTCTGGCCATATTAGCCCGTTGGTAGTTCCCTCCTGAGGCTGCTGTACCAGCATCTCCGTTCTTACCCCCATCTCAGCTTGCTCAGCCATTTCTAAATCAGATCTAGTGGAAGAAATGCACAGATTCAGTCATGCTGGCAGCAGAGAGAAAGGAGTGTCGATGACCAGCCATTGGCATAGTCTGGGGCACCCCGTCTCCTGGCTCTCTGTGCCTGGACATGGTGTTAGCGCAGTCTTGCAGCAATCTGATCCCCTCTCTGATGACAGGGTGATGAGGAAAGGTGGTCTCAGTGCCAGGCGTCCCTTCCAGCCCTTCTTGCTCAGGGTAACCCAGCTGCCATCCTTTTGCTGTTCCTAAATAGTCAGTTCTCCCACCCGCAGGGCCAAGCCCAGTGCTGCACTCCATCCGGATCGTGGAGATCAATATGGCCATCCAGTCCCAGTACTGCGCAGCTGCTGACGCATGCAGGTGAGTGAGGCGAGGCCGGCTGCCAGCACTTTGGTGGCAGCAGCACTGTGGGAGCTCCGGGGGAAGCAGCAGATGAGCAGCTCCTGGAGCCTTGGGCCGTTTTCTGCCATCACCCCAAGGCAGGACATGCTGCTCCTTGGGCAGAGGAGCTGGGGCTCCAAGTCCTTCACTCAGAGTGCAGGAAGATTGTATTTGGTGATGAGCTCATCCTTGGGAACTAGCCTGGGAAGCCCTCCCTTCTGAAGTCTCGGTCCAACAGAGACTTTGGGTCCTGTCCTGGCCATCTCACAGCTGCCTTGAAATGCTGTGCTGAGGTCCAATGCTCTCTCTGTGTCCCTAGGGCTGGAAACTTCACCTACCGCATCCCTGTCAACCAGCTCACAGCAGTGAACACCAACCTGACCCTGGAGATGAAGTGAGTGGACAGGGCTCGTCTATTAGGTGTTTCGGTACCCCTGAAGTCAGCTGGACGCTGTGCCATGTGGCCACGGCGTCTCCTGCCTGAGCTGGGGAAGAGACAGCAGGGTCTTACTGTGTCTTGTCTCCCCAGCTCCTCCTCCGCTGTGTCCATCTTCCTTTGTGGCCTTGTCTCCAGTGACCCCTGCCAGGATGCCGCGAGCAGGAACAGCTCCACTGATGGGACAGACGCACAGGTAGGGAGGGAGGGTATGGCTCACAAAATCCTCACGCCTTGCGTCACCCCAGCACAACACTGATCCCTCCAGAAGGCACTACAGCTGCCTGGGACGGGCAGCACAGGAGTTGCTCGAGGGAATTCGTGCTCGAACATAGCCGTACTCTGCACTGGCTAATGTCAACGACCCTCAGACATCCCTGCAACCCCAACAGGGAGGTGTCTGTAAACCTGATATATGTGGTCACTCACATGAAATCATCCCACCCGACCCATGTCCGGAGCCTGCCTCAGACCCTTCTTACCCTCGAGTGCCTCCTTGCCCCTCTCGGTCCAGCTCGATTGCTGACCTTGGAGAGGTTGCTCCTCCACTCGACAGCACAGCGTTGTGTGGCTCCTTGCCAGTCTGGCTGGGAGAACATCCCCTGATGCTCAGCCCCAATCTCATCCCAGCTATTCTACTTTCTTCCCCAGGAAACAACGCACCGTTGGCCTCTCGTGATGATGTCTTTCCGGGAGTTTACCTACCACTTCAGAGTAGCACAGCCTGTGAGTACCAGCAGTGCTTTGTCCTTCCTCTTGTCCAGGGCTGAGCGGCAGAAGAGCATTGGGACCGTGGCAGGTTTAGCAGCCACGTTGCGCTGAGAGCCTTCCACAGTCCTCTCCATCGTGGCCGCTGCCTTCCACAGTTACATGGGTAGTGGGGGGATGATTTTTCTCTGCCCCAGCACATAATTCAGACACAATTCCCCCCTCGGAGTATGCGTCCTACCCCTCTCTGTAAGCTCTTTTTCTCGCTCTCTCACAGGGCCGAGCCAACTGCAGCACTGCTCCCGAGCAGATGGGACACCTTTTCACTGACTATTATTTTCAGTTCTACTGGCTCTGTGAGTGAGTCCTGGCAGCACCAGTGCCCTCTGGTTGGAGAGAGGAGGGGGACTGGTGACACTGGGGAGACTCCTGTACACCCTCCTCCACTAGCCCCCAGCCCCACCTTACCCCCATCTCCCGCATGGGGCGTGGAGCTGGTTTGGTTGTGGCTGGTGACGCAGGCACTGAAGCACAGCACACGCAGAACATAGGACCTAAGCCACAGGAACACAACCGGCCCTGTGGTACCTCCTGGGCTCACCTCACACTGACTCCCACCATCCCACGCCGCCCCGACCATCTCTCTCCTTCCCTTATGGGGACGCTTGTGTCCTCCGTCGCTTCTCCCTGCCCTTGCAACACTGGATTTGAAAGCATTACACTGAACTGAACGTGGACAGGTCTGCCACATCCCAGAGTGCGGATGGGAGCTCCATCCTGTACTGGCCCCGAGGTCTCAGATGTGCCACATCAGTTCTTCACAACACTGGAATTGCTCGACACTGGAGCCCTTTCCAAGAGCGAAACGCTGGAGTTTGGCCTGGAAAGGAAGGCTGTGCCTGGACGTACTGGAAGTCGTACACTGGAGTTGCTGTTCCTTCTAGTTGGCCCAGGGCCATCCCCCGCAGCCCCACTCCACAGACCCCCCCAGAGACCCCAGGACCCGCAAACGGACTGTCCTCTGTGGACAAGAGAAGGTGCAGCTTCAACATTTACCCTGCCTGTCCCCCTCCTCGCTGTACTCTTTAACTTTCACTGTATCCAGGTCTGGATGGATAAACTCAAGAACCCCACTAAAGATGCTGCTGAGGCTGTGCCCAGGCCAAACCATTTGTGGGGACACTTGCCATCAACCCATGGGAGAAAAATTACCGTGAGTCACCTGCGTTAAGTGTCATGGGACCTGTTTGTTTTTTTTCATTTGGCAGCAGCTTGCGGCCTCTCACAGTGTGTGTGGAGCTGCCTGGTCAGCTCTCAAGTCAACGCGGCCACCTCTGCCCAGATGTGCAGAAGTGAGACCACTGGCAAAGCCCGGTACGCCCTGCAGAGCAAGGCTGAGTCGCTGGGGACGTGTGATGTGGCTTCGCTGCACGCCCTGGCTAACGGACCTCTGCCAGGCACTGAAGAGGCAGATCCTCTCCCACAAAGCGGGGAATGGCAGCGACTGTGGGCCCTTGCTGTCACTGTTCTTGGAAAGCAGTTATGTTGAGTGTATTTTGGGTATTTTACTGTTACAAGTTCTTAACTTGCTAAACTACTGAATTTTTTTTTTTTTAAGCCGTATAAAAATGGGTCTCTGAATTCTGTCCCTATTGAGCTACGCGTGTCTCGAATAGGAAACCAAAGGGGGCCACTGCTAAGCTCCACATTAAAGCTTGACTGCTACAGCGGTGCTGGGACATGTCAGACTGACTGACCAGCGCGCCATCCTCCTCCCCGTCCTGCTCCAGCACCTCTTGCTAAAAAGGAGACATCTGCGTTCCTGGAGGCTGAGCCACCGCCAGGTTCTTGTGTCTGAGATGCATTTCTCTTAAGGAAAGAGCAGCCACTGCTGGGGAAGGGGAGTGAGGGGGAAACGCCACTCACCAGTTCTGAAGCACACGCTAAAGCTGGCTTCAGAGAAGAGCACACCTTGCCGCTCCACCACTGGACGTAGGCAACTCGAACCAAACTGGTTTTGGGAAACTGTATCAGGCTCTGGCTGCTGCGTTTTTTTGCCTTCAGTGGAGATGGATGCAGCGATCCCTCCCTTTGCCAGCTTCAGGCCGTGTTGTTACCAGCACTGCGGAGTGCGTGGCTGGCTCCGCTGCTCCAGAGAAACAAGCTGCAAAGACATTTTTTAATCCAGATAGGTGGTTCCTCTGCACATCTCGTGGGACCCTACGTGGCCTTCTCCCCACAGTCTGGGGAGCAGTTTTATCTCCTCAGAACTTACTTCTGAGCTTGTCCCAGCAAAGCAGCCACAGCCCTGTAATTCCCTGCGACGTCGCTAGGAGTTGGCATCTCTGCCAGGCAAGGCTTGCTCTTTGTAGGGCAGTTTTGAGGTCAGGTCTTCATTCTTACTGTATGCCTACAGGCAGCAAACACTTAACTATACATTGGTGATGCTCTCCAGTTACTAAAATGCACTGAAGCCTGGGCAGGCAGGAACCAGTAGGCAAGCAGGCAATGCCAGGCAGCCAAGCAGGAGTGAAGCTAGGGGACTACCAGATTTTGGGCAGCTCAGCGGGAAAACCAGAGGTCTCTTGTGCTACGCACAAGCAGGTCAGCTCCATGCTCAGCAGGATTCCCTGTTTCTCTCTGCAACTCGGAAGGAAACCCTCCGATGTAGCTCTCCAGCGAGGCTGCTCAGCACTCTTCCCTCTACCTGCCCTGAGCTTTTTTGCTTGGCCTTAAACTGGGAAGTTACTTTCTTTGCAGCTTTTATTCTCCACTTGGCAATCAGTGGTCCAGTCTGGCAAGTCCTTATTCAGGTGAGTGATGCCACATGCTCTTCCATATCTGCTCAGCTGAGAGGCAGCCTTCTCAGCCCTGCTGTTTTCCCTTGTATTGTCAAGCTGGGCTAGATGCCTGTGTGCTCCTTTAGCCCCTGAAGAGGTAACGAGCGGTGTTGTGAGGGCCAGAGCTGAAAGCACTGCCTGCAATCACCACCACCAATCCACCCCCTCGCTGGTGGCCCTGGCCAAGGTCTGCTGAGACCCACGAGTCCATCTCACCCCACTGCAGGGAAAGCCACTCCTGGAGGGGGAGGAATCAATCAATCACTAGAAACATGCTAGCAGCAGTAGCCCAAGAAGAGATGGAGTCTCTCAGGTGTCCCTGCGATGCTTAGCCATGGGGTTTACGAGGGCCCCTGGCAAACCAAGTGCCTAAGGGCTACAGGAACATCTCTAGTGCCTTTTTCTGCTGACAGGACTGCATGAGGGAACTGTGGTTTCCCACACGTGCGTAAAATGCTGCGTGCCTCAAAGACAGTGGCCAGTTAGCTTAAGAACGGAGACGAGGCAACACCTAAAGTGCAAAGGCCGGCCCTACCCACGTACAGCTGTTTCACAGCAGAGCAGCAGCGGGCTGACAGCAATCCCTGGTATCAAAAGAGGAGAGGGATTCAGAATGCAGTTTTTAGCATCTTGTATTGCAAATAATAGTATCTTTTGTCTTAAAGTATATCACAAAGCATATGCCAGATCCACCAGCCACTGCACAGCAAGGCAGGATCCAGCTCAAAAGGGTTTTGTAATTATTAAAGGGTCACAGGATTGCTTCCAAGCCCACAGAAACAGCTGTTTGCATAGACTCCCCCCAAGGTGTCTCTGCCCTAACTGAAGACATGTTCCCCATCCCCAATCAGTAACAAGAGAGTTAACAATCAGGCCTTTCCCTGCATGAGACAGAGGGAGCTCTGAGCCGATGTCTCCAGCTGTACAGCTTGGGGAAAACCCTCTCCTTCCGCTGGAAACAAGACGCTTCATCTCTCTAGACATTCTTGGCAGGAAGGAAGACAAGTGTGGAAAGGAGGCCACTTGCCAAAGTTTGGCTGTTTCAGAGTTTGTTTCAAAAGCAAATTCACAAACATTCTGTCCTACTCTTAGAGCTTAAAGCCTGTAAATAGAGACTATGCCACCACTGCAAGAATTAAGAAAAAAGTAAAGCACTAATTTGTTTGGTTTAAATGTTGCTGTCACAGCTTTAATCACTGTATATTGCCAGCAAGTCTGTAGAGTTGCATTCTTAGCAGGTATTATTGATTATCGGTTTTTATTTGTGGGGAACAAGCGTGGTTTCCCTCCTTTCTTTCTGATTTATATTTATATTTTGCTGAATTTGAGTGCTGAGTCTCCGGATTCCCCACTTTTTTGTTTGGCTTATTTAGACTTTGTTTTATGCTGGAGGTAAATATGCCCATATAAATAAATATATAAATACTGCTTTGTATCCAAGGACGGCTCCTGGCGCATTCCTCCCTTGCTGTGAAATAACAGTCTTTCAGTTCAGTAGCTATAAAACTGCTTCCTAAAAGATGGAGGAACCCCCATGTCATTAATCAGCAGGAGTTTCCAGACGTGCCTGTGCAGGGTCCGGTCAGGGTCAGAACAGCCCCAGCCTGTGGCTGCTCACTGCTACATAGCATGCTTTTGAAGAGGTATAAAAAAAGAGCTTGTTGCTCACGGCTCAGAGGTTAGAGCCAGATCCAGAGGCATTCGCAGAGGGAAAGCTTCCTTCCCAAACAGGAAATTAGGGCTTTAAATCTGTAAGCTACCTGTTGAATTTCTGATTTTGAAATCTAATTGCTTTGAAAGCTGGGCTACAAATTCAAAGCTACCTATAAAAATAGTTACACGTACCATAAACTCCTTTTTTATAGGCAGTTAACTACTTAACCGAAGGGCACATCCAGCTACAAGATTATTCTGTCCTGTACTTCTCAAGCATTCCTCCCAAAAACTCATTTCCCACAAACAGAGCTTATGTCACCCGCTGCGGTGCCCACCAGCCAAGCAGCATTCTTGCTTTGCACCTGAGGAGCCACATCGGCGCGTTACCTGGGAACCCTGGGCAGAGACCGTTCCGCAAGCGCCATTTCACCCAGGCCAAATGGTACACGAACCCGGCCACAGCCGCCATCCGCACACCTCAGGAGCACGGAACCTGGCTGAAGAGCGGGACTGGGCATTTCTATCAGCTCCATTTCTAGCGCAGGAGGTCCCCAGCACGTGCTGCTGATGGTAAGCGAAGCAGCTCAGAGCAGTCCCTGCCCCTCTCCTCCGTGCTGCTGAGCCACAAAGCTGCTGGCTCAGGATGAGAATGGGCACAGCCTTCCAGAAAGAGGGTGAGGGGATATAAAGGTTGAGGGATATAAAAGCAGGCTTAGAAAGAAGGAAGCATTTTTATTCTGAAGCCCCTCGGGGCATACACAGCTCTGGAAGTCTATGATAAACACTGGGCCCATACCAAGGCACGTGGCCTTGGGTCTTGCGCCAGTATCAAAGTGGTTTGGAAAAGCCACGTAAAAAAAAAAAAAAGCACCTAAAAGACAAACTGCGAGTCCAAAGGCAGGTGCGTCACAGAGCCAGTTTTATTCGGGTTTGGTTTGTTGGGCTGGCAGAAGTCGCTCGACAAGAGCACAGCCCATGCCTGACACAAGCTTTGTTGTTGAAGTATAAAAGAAATACAAAAAGACTTTCCGCAGGGCTTCCCACCTAGAACCAAACGAGAGATGGAGGTCGGTGAGACAGCATTCCCCAGGGCCAGACTCTGCTGCTACTAAAGCCCCAGAGCGCAGGACAATACCCAGTGCGCGAGATTCCTTACTGCCTCAAACGGGGACAAAGGCCAGTTCTGCCTGCAGTTAATAGAGAGGCACAGAAGCCCTCTCCGGCTACCTTACCAAACAGCTGCTTTGGAGCTGGCAGCAGCTGCCATGCTTCAGCCCAAAGGCTGCTGCCCGGATGGGGGCACAGCCTTTTGCACCTCCTAACTCTGCCCGTGAAGAAAAGTGGGGTTTGTAAAGACTGGGGGTGACAGGGCTACATTTCCAGGACACCCCCCCCCCAACCCAGACACAGGCAGAGTTGAGACCTAGGGGAGCTTACAGCCATAGGGATCAACAAGGCAGTACCGGTGCTCCTCCGCCCGGGCCTCAGACGTAAATACCGACCCACAGCAGCAGGAAGAGGACGCCAAAGCCCATGAAGAGCGAAGCCACCAGCGAGATCAACAGCTCCTTGTAGATATCCCGCGTGTACTTGGTAGAAGTCACCTCGTAGCTGCAGCCCGGGGGTTAAGGCAATAACGGAGGCAGAGCAAGGTGAGGGAACCCCCCACCCCGCTCCCCTGTCCCCCGACTCCCAGCCCAGGGATACACGAAGAACCAGGCGGTGAAGAACATGCCGATGGCCAGCAGCACCACGGTGAGGTGCGGGAAAACGGCCGGGTTCACCGGGCTGGTGTATCTGCTCATCGCCTCCAGCTCCTGCGGCGAGACGGTAGAAGGGTAAGGACACCGCTAGGGGACGGGGCTGGGCCGGGACCGGCTCCCGACCCCTCACGGCGGCCCCGGCCCCTCACCATGGCGCCCGGCTCCCGCTCCGCTCACGACACGTCGCCTGCGCTCCCCGCTCCGCTCCCGCCGGAAGCGGAAGGAGAGAGCGAAGGGGGATGCCGGGATAGGTGGGGCGGAGCGAGCGGGAGCCGCTCGCTATTGGCTCCGCCGAGCTCCCGGCGGGCATTGCGCCGGAGCGCGGGAGCGGTGGCGGGATCGAGCTGAGGGGTAACGGCGGCCCGGGAGGCTGAGGCGGGTCTGGGGTGGGGGGGATAATGGCAGCCAGAGAGGCTGAGGTGGGTCTAGGGGGGAAATAATGGCGGCCAGAGAGGCTGAGGCGGGCCTGGGGGGGATAATGGAGGCCGGGGCAAGCTGAGGCGGGCCTGGGGGGTGATAATGGCGGCTGGAGCAGGCTGAGGTGGGCCTGGGGTGGGGGGGGATAATGGCGGCCAGAGAG